CATTTATGCGCTGTTCAGCTTGTTAAGTAAGTGTCCAGGTCTCACTGGCAAATGTTGCAGAGGGAAAGACACATGATCTCAGTAATCTAATTGTTTTTAGTTCCGTCTGTCCCACTCCATAATTCTGTATGTGTGGGTGTGTGTGTGAGTGGGTGTGTATGAGTGGGTGGGTGTGTGTGTGTAAGTTGGCGTGTGTGTGTGAGTGGGTGTGTGTGAGTGGGGGTGTGCAAGTGGGCGTGTGTGTGAGTGAGCGTGTGTGTGTGGGCGTGTGGGAGTGGGCGTGTGTGAGTGGGTGTGTAAGTGAGTGTGTGTGAGTGGGTGTGTCTGAGTGGGTTTGTGTGAGTAGGTGTGTGTAAGCGGGTGTGTGTGAGTGGGCTTGTCTGTGAGTGGGTGTGTCTGAGTGATTGTGTGTGTGAGTGGGTGTGTGTGAATGGGCGTGTGTATGAATGGGTGTGTTTTGGAGGATAAAACAAAAAGATATGTGTTGAGCACCCTAAAGATTGTGAGGTCCTAACATGTAGTTTAGTTAGTTTGTGCCTAAATCAACACTTATATCTATGCTCTGTTTTTGGAGAATAAAGAATAGCCCACTGTCCTCTAACAGACATAGACCCACTGTCCTCTAACAGACATGGTCTCACTGTCCTCTAACAGACATGGACCCACTGGCCTCTAACAGACATGGACCCACTGTCCTCTAACAGACATGGATCCACTGCCCTCTAACAGACATGGACCCACTGTCCTCTAACAGACATGGATCCACTGCCCTCTAACAGACATGGTCTCACTGGACTCTAATAGACTTGGACCCACTGCCCTCTAATAGACATGGTCCCACTGACCTCTAACAGACATGGACCCACTACCCTCTAATAGGCATGGGCCCACTACCCTCTAATAGACATGGACCCACTGGACTCTAACAGACATGGACCCACTACCCTCTAATAGACATGGACCCACTACCCTCTAATAGACATGGACCCACTGGACTCTAACAGACATGGACCCACTGCCCTCTAATAGACATGGTCTCACTGACCTCTAACAGACATGGACCCACTGCCCTCTCACAGATATGGAACCACTGGCCTCTAACAGACATGGACCCACTGTCCTCTAAAAGACATGGACCCACTGTCCTCTAACAGACATGGACCCACTGGACTCTAATAGACATGGACCCACTGGACTCTAACAGACATGGACCCACTGCCCTCTAATAGACATGGTCTCATTGACTTCTAATAGACATGGACTTACTGCCCTCTCACAGAATGGAACCACTGGCCTCTAATAGACATGGACCCACTGGACTCTAACAGACATGGACCCACTACCCTCTAATAGACATGGACCAACTACCCTCTAATAGACATGGACCCACTGGACTCTAACAGACATGGACCCACTGCCCTCTCACAGATATGGAACCACTGGCCTCTAACAGACATGGACCCACTGTCCTCTAACAGACATGGACCCACTGTCCTCTAACAGACATGGACCCACTGGACTCTAATAGACATGGACCCACTGGACTCTAACAGACATGGACCCACTGCCCTCTAATAGACATGGTCTCATTGACCTCTAATAGACATGGAACCACTGCCCTCTCACAGACATGGAACCACTGGCCTCTAACAGACATGGACCCACTGTCCTCTAACAGACATGGACCCACTGTCCTCTAACAGACATGGACCCACTGGACTCTAATAGACATGGACCCACTGACCTCTAATAGACATGGACCCACAGTCCTCTAACAGACATGGACCCACTGTCCTCTAACAGACATGGACCCACTGTCCTCTAACAGACATGGTCTCACTGGCCTCTAACAGACATGGACCCACTGGCCTCTAATAGACATGGACCCACTGCCCTCTAACAGACATGGACCCACTGGCCTCTAACAGACATGGACCCACTGGCCTCTAATAGACATGGACCCACTGCCCTCTAACAGACATGGACCCACTGGCCTCTAACAGACATGGACCCACTGCCCTCTAACAGACATGGACCTACTGACCTCTAATTGACATGGTCTCACTGACCTCTAACAGACATGGACCCACTGACCTCTAATAGACATGGTCTCACTGCCCTCTAACAGACATGGACATACTGTCCTCTAATAGACATGGACCCACTGCCCTCTAACAGACATGGACCCACTGCCCTCTAATAGACATGGACCCACTGCCCTCTAACAGACATGGACCCACTGCCCTCTAACAGACATGGACCCACTGCCCTCTAACAGACATGGACCCACTGCCCTCTAACAGACATGGACTCACTACCCTCTAACAGACATGGACCCACTGCCCTCTAATAGACATTGACCCACTGGCCTCTAACAGCCATGGTCTCACTGGCATCTAATAGACATGGACCCACTGACCTCTAATAGACTTGGACCTACTGCCCTCTAATAGACATGGTCTCACTGGCCTCTAATAGACATGGACCCACTGGCCTCTAACAGACATGGACCTACTGCCCTCTAATAGACATGGTCTCACTGGCCTCTAACAGACATAGACCCACTGGCCTCTAATAGACATGGACCCACTGCCCTCTAACAGACATGGACCCACTGGTCTCTAACAGACATGGACCCACTGCCCTCTAATAGACATTGACCCACTGGCCTCTAACAGACATGGACCCACTGGCCTCTAATAGACATGGACCCACTACCCTCTAACAGACATGGACCCACTGCCCTCTAATAGACATAGTCTCACTGGCCTCTAACAGACATGGACCCACTGCCCTCTAATAGACATGGTCTCACTGGCCTCTAATAGACATGGACCCACTGGCCTCTAACAGACATGGACCCACTGACCTCTAATAGACATGGACCCACTGGCCTCTAACAGACATGGACCCACTGCTCTCTAATAGACATGGTCTCACTGGCCTCTAACAGACATGGACCCACTGCCCTCTAATAGACATAGTCTCACTGGCCTCTAATAGACATGGACCCACTGGCCTCTAACAGACATGGACTTACTGCCCTCTAATAGACATGGACCCACTGGCCTCTAACAGACATGGACCTACTGCCCTCTAATAGACATGGACCCACTGGCCTCTAATAGATATGGACCCACTGGCCTCTAATAGACATGGACCCACTGACCTCTAACAGACATATGTCTCACTGCCCTCTAACAGACATGGTCCCACTGTCCTCTATAAGACATGGACCCACTGACCTCTAATAGACATGGACCCACTGTCCTCTAACAGACATGGACCCACTGTCCTCTAACAGACATGGTCCCACTGGCCTGTAATAGACATGGACCCACTGACCTCTAACAGACATGGTCTCACTGCCCTCTAATAGACATGGACCCACTGCCCTCTAATAGACATGGTCTCACTCACCTCTAATAGACAAGGACCCACTGCTCTCTAATAGACATGCTCCCACTGACCTCTAATAGACATGGACCTACTGCCCTCTAACAGACATGGACCCACTGACCTCTAATAGACATGGACCCACTACCCTCTAATAGACATGGACCCACTGTACTCTAATACACATGGACCCACTACCCTCTAATTGACATGGACGCACTGGACTCTAATAGACATGGACCCACTACCCTCTAATAGACATGGACCCACTGGACTCTAATAGACATGGACCCACTACCCTCTAATAGACATGGACCCACTGGACTCTAATAGACATGGACCCACTACCCTCTAACAGACATGGACCCACTACCCTCTAATAGACATGGACTCACTGGCCTCTAATAGACATGGACCCACTGGCCTCTAACAGACATGGTCCCACTGCCCTCTAATAGACATGGACCCACTACCCTCTAATAGACATGGACCCACTGCCCTCTAATAGACATGGACCCACTGGCCTGTAACAGACATTGACCTAGTGGCCTCTAACAGACATGGACCCACTACCCTCTAACAGACATGGTCCCACTGTCCTCTAACAGACATGGACCCACTGCCCTCTAACAGACATGGACCCACTACCCTCTAACAGACACGGTCCCACTGCCCTCTAGACAAGACAGAATTGTTGGCAAGGTATCACTGTGAACTGTAGATTTGGAAAATGGCGAATTGCATTTTGACACAGAATTTGTGATTAAATTGATCGCGCATGCAACTGCTGATGTGTTTGTAACTGCTGTTTCTGTCGACGATGAACTGCCTATATGATGTCGAACAGTTGGCATCAGCACTTCTGATGGCTGTCTCGTGTTTATAATGCGTGTGTATGCTAGTAAAAATGCTCAGACTGCAGTCTGTGTCCATTTTTTGAGCAAGAAACAATGAACATTCTGTGTGTTTTTCTTTGACACAGTGGCGGACCAACCAAAGGGTGACCCGTTTGCTATGAAGTTGAAACTAAGTTATAACCAAGATATAGCTTAGTCTCTCGGCGTGGAACAGCAAGCCGCCTGTCGAGAGCGTCATGCAAAACACGAATTCTGCAGCACCAGCGACGATCGCGGTGATCTCCATAAGAAATGAACGTTTAAAAAAACACCACTTGACAGAGAATCAGAAATAAGACATTGCTGGGCTTGCTTGAGAAAATATGAACACAAGAGAAAAGTTGAACTATTAAGTTTTGTGTTGAATCAAATTATAATACGTGATTGTTTCCTTTGTAATTGTTCCTGATTTTGTTCCATTCTGTCCAGCTGAGCAAACTATTTGATTTTTGGATGTTTTATGAAATCATTCACCGGTAGTGTCGTCGTCATCGTCATCATCATCAGTTTCCACTTCTGCCGTTATGCCTTGTGGGGAGGCACAATTTCCTATCCACTGCTTGATGGGCGGTACTGGCTAGTGTCATTCCGTGTCCATGTAGCAGCTCTTGAATGTCATCAGTCCATCTTCTCACTTTTGCTTTCACTTCAGATCCTTTGATGTGTAGCGCCTGCGCTGGTCGTTGTTATGGCTTCATTCTTAGTGTACTAACCATTATTCTTAGTTACTTCATTCGTGACTCTGTCTCTTCTTGTTTTTCCAGCCGCGTTTCGAATACATCTCATCTCACGTGTAGTTGTTATACATCTCATCTCACGTGTAGTTGTTATACATCTCATCTCACGTGTAGTTGTTATACATCTCATCTCACGTGTAGTTGTTATACATCTCATCTCACGTGTAGTTGTTATACATCTCATCTCACGTGTAGTTGTTATACATCTCATCTCACGTGTAGTTGTTATACATCTCATCTCACGTGTAGTTGTTATACATCTCATCTCACGTGTAGTTGTTATACATCTCATCTCACGTGTAGTTGTTATACATCTCATCTCACGTGTAGTTGTTATACATCTCATCTCACGTGTAGTTGTTATACATCTCATCTCACGTGTAGTTGTTATACATCTCATCTCACGTGTAATTGGTATACATCTCTTCTCACGTGTAGTTTTTATACATCTCATTTTACGTGAAGTTCTTATAATCTCATCTCACGTGTCGTTGTTATACATCTCATCTCACTTGTAGTTCTTATACATCTCATCTCACGTGTAGTTGTTATACATCTCATCTCACGTGTAGTTCTTATACATCTCATCTCACGTGTAGTTCTTATACACCTCATCTCACGTGTAGTTCTTATACATCTCATCTGACGTTTAGTTATTATACATTTCAACTCACTTGTAATTCTTTTACATCTCATCTCACGTGTAGTTCTTATACATCTCATCTGACGTCTAGTTATTATACATCTCATCTCACATGTATTTCTTATACATCTCATCTCACGTGTAGTTGTTATACAACATCTCATCTCATTTGTGGTTCTTATACACATCTCAAGTGTAGTTCTTATACATCTCATCTCACGTGTAGTTCTTATACATCTCATCTCACGTGTAGTTCTTATAAATCTCATCTCAGTTTTGTGTTTATGTTTTCCTAGTACTGTCATGTCTTGCAGTGATTGCCAAAAGTTGGTACAAATAGCGCATTCATCAGCTGCATAACCCAACCAATCACTGAAAGAATTAGTTGCTATCCATGACAGAACATTGCAGAGCCATCACATAGTTTTTTTTTTTACTGTTTGGTTTCAATATTCAATTTGCGTTCAGTAGTTTGCTATTGCTTTTTTAAACGGTGCTCCAACTCATCGTTAAAATCAACATAAAGCGGTCTCCATTGCCTGCAACTGGAATCGAACTGGGTATTTCGCATTTTCGAAGTAATCTGGTAATCTGGTAATCCTAGTTTCAGCATCATAGCAAACGGGTCACCCCATTGTTGCTCCGCTCCTGTGCCAACGAAAAACACTCGTAGCTCACAGTGTCACACCATGCACTCAACTCAGAAGCTGGGTGACGAAACCATATAAGCATTTTCGAAGTACATTCGTAAGGCCTCAACTCCAGACGCCGACATTCAGTCATAAACAGATCTTTGATTATCTAGACCAAAGCTGTAGAGCTAAGTTTACTTCAGGGCCAAAATAGTGAAAATGGGTTGGTCACTGGCCAGAGGTCAAGTCTCAGCATTGAATGATCAATAATCCAATACAATGGTAATGATCCGCGGGCCGCTTGTTAGGCCTCTGTGGGCTGGATTCGACAAGCTGGCCGCTTGTTGAAATGCCCTGATCTAGACCATAGTTGGTTGATGGCCTGTGCTCCATTGGGAACTGAAGGAAGAAGAAGAGGTAACAGCTCATGTAGAAGATGACAAGACTGGCTGAAGTGTGAATTGATATTCCGCTTCTTTTTCATGTCGAGATAAATGTAAGGTTGTACTTCTTGCTCTTCTGATTGCCTCGACCATGGACAAATTATAAAAGTCTAGTTCCCCTGATCTTACTTTTTGATCTTGTTCTTATGCTCTACGTCCCTCGTCTCCTTTGGTGTATGCCTTGCATGACATATCATTGCAAGGCATTCAGTTTAAGTGGGCAAACCGTTGTATGTGTTGTCTCTGTAGAATCATTATAGAATCATTATAGAATCATTATAGAATCATTATAGAATCATTATAGAATCATTATAGAATCATTATCACCTGCGTTTTCATGATGATAATGTTTGGTATTGTTCTATTCCGCCAGGTCTGGTTTCAGAACCGTCGCGCCAAGTGGAAGAAACGAAAGAAGGCTACCAATGTGTTCCGCAGTCCAGGAGCTCTACTTCCTTCTACTGGCCTCAGTCCCTTCGGGAGTGTCAGCGACGCTTTCTGTGGGTTTCCCTCCGCTGACGGACGCTGGCCAGGCATGGCGCAGATGAACTCAAACATGAACACATTGGCCCTTTCAGCCGCCACTCTAGGGCCCCGACAGAGCATCCAGTCCTCGCTAACCTCACCCATGTCGATGAACTCCCTAGGAAACCACTCCAATCCCATGAGTTTTGGTAACACTTTGGGTATGAGCAATGGCAGTCCTCCCTCGGCCTACAACACAGGCTACTCCATGGTCCCCACGGCTTCATGTGGAGCCACCAATGGCGGTGGCGGTCTGTCTGGCAACTCGCCATCTCCAACTTTGTCGTCGACACTTCAGTGCGGCCTGTCTGACATGGACGAGACATGGAGAGGCTCTAGCATTGCGGCACTGAGGAGGAAAGCTATTGAGCATACAGTCAACATTGGCGGCTATCGATGAATCAGATGACTTGGGTCAAACCATCTTCGTGCGATGATCCGACACCACACAGTTGATGTTGAACACAAAGTCCGCTGACATGTTGCTTTTGACAATAATCTTGTTTTGTCACAAATCAATAGTTTGTGCAGTTTTATTTTGTAAATTTTAATCATGCTATGTTGCTTGTGAAACCACTATCCTACATCTGTACATATATGAGGAGAATGGTTCATTTCCACACCTTTGTTTGTATATTTTGCTTTTTAAAAATCATTTTGAACGGTAATTAATTCCCTAATGAACGGATTAGTTTCAACTTGAATCAACATTTTGTGAACGTTCATACACGACAACATAAACACTGTACATTTTGTTCTTGTGAATAGCGGCAGAGGGAGTTGCCGTGGTGTTGCAGCTAGACGGTTGCAGGCGGATCAGGAGGTCGTGGGTTCGCGTCCTAATGGAGCTGGAATTTTAAAAAATCACTTTGCCTCCAGGTCTACCTAGCCTTGAGTGAGTACCAGGTGTGGTCCTGGGAAGTAAAGGCGGTCGATGTGATGCTGACCACATCACCCACTAAGTGTAGATTGCTCTGAAAAATAGGCCTGAGAGCGTAGAAAAGTGTCTTTTACTTTGCTCTACTAAATAGGGCAGAGGTAAACGAAGACATAGAGGTCACCGGCGAGAATGACAAATAAATGACCCAAGTACCAAGCGTTATTATCAAGTCCCAGTGTGGATTCGGGGACCCATTGTGGAGAAAACAAGAATGGACCCACTGCCTTCTCAACATGCATGTCGTAGGAGTCGACCTTAGAAGTCGGAGCACATCTGCCTGAGAAGCAAGGAACTAACAGTCTTTATACAAATATGCTAGATCCGTGAAACGGGTGTACACACAACACACCGGTTCTGGAACAAGACTGAAGTCCGGAGGTGGACGAATACCCAGAACTTTCCATTAAGTTGACGACCGGTGAACACGAAAAACAATAAGAAGACTGCTAACTATAACTTATAGAAAAAACATCCATCTATATAAAAGTGTCAAATAAAATAGAAAAAACAAACACAAACTAGTAATTTAGTGTCCGAAAATATGTGATGGCTGACAATGTTCTGTCTTGACAGTATCTGTTTTGTGTGGTTTTTTTTTTTTTTTTTTTTTTTTGTTTTGTTTTTTTTATTTTTATTTTTTTTGTCTGATGTTAAATAAGGCCCAACGGAGATCATTCTCCGCATCAAGATGACACTGCTGTCTTGTTTTTATAACTGTCAAATTCGAAAATCCGGATTCATCAAAGTATTTAGATAAAAATGACAAAAGAACATATATAACTAATTTAGCCTCATGTGAGTACATCGTAAGATACTGCACGATTACCTCCCCCCCCCCCCCCCCCAATACACAGCCTAAAAAAATCCAAAGCCTCATCATCATCATCATCATCATGTAGCAGGTCCTTTACAGAACGTCGCTCTCATCACGGTCTGCCTGAAAGAAACTCGTTCTCTCGCCAGCTCTCACTCCTCATGCACTTTTATACTCAAGGAATCACTTATATCCTGTGCCCATCTTCTTGTCGGTCGGCACCTGCCCCTCCCTATAGCCTTTTGCTATAATTTGTTCCAATCCGTCGTGGCGCTTAATATGACCAAAATATTTCATCTTCCCAAGCAGGATGCTGTTTATTAGCCAATCTTCCTTGATGTTCAGATCTTTCAATATGTCAGTATTTCTCCTCTTCTTAGTCCAATATATTCTGAGAATCTTTCTATAACATTCCCGTTCAAAAGCTCTTATTTTCTTTCTTAAGGACTGAGAGATAGTCCACGACTCACGGATGCAGTCCCGGGAAGTAAAAGCGGTCGGAGTGATGCTGACCACATCACCCATCTTGTGCCGATTGGTCTATAAAAATATAAATCTAGCCCTATATGTCCTATAGACCTGAAGGCGTGAAAAGGGGACCTTTACTTACAAACAGTCTCCATTATTCCATGATGAGGTTCTTAGGGTAGTAATGTGTTAGTTTCCTGTTGCTTACCACATCCACGTGGCTTTAGACTACGTCCTCAGCCTTCCGCAACTGTTTTGATTGCTAGGGCCCTACTCTGTTATGTTCCTGCTAACAGCAGAGGGCAACCCAGAGGTGTCCACTTATCCCGGCGGATACTCGGTCCCCATAGCTGCGTTGGCGACACCGCAGTTTGTTTACCATCCTCTACCGCGTGGAGGTGCAGTTGGGGTTTTCCCTTCACTGAGTCTTGAGACCAGAATGGCATTTCCCAAAACTCTCCAGTATTTTCAGAGGACGTCCAAAGCCTAACAATGTGGAATCGTTTTTAGCCCTTGAATTTCATTTTAGCCGCCTCTTCTTGAATAGACGGTGACAGTATAACGATGTCAACATTGAAAGGATTTCTGGTTAACTTCCAAGTCCAGTTACTAAAATAATAGATCGCGAAACTGAGATCGAATTCCTGTACCAGAAAATCTAAATGTAACTGTTTTTTTAACTCCAAGTTCATTATATTCACATTATTTTCCAACAGTTAATTAGGACGTGGAAAAGATTAGAATTTTTTAGATTCAGTTCATTGTTTCTATAACTTTTTTTTTCTACGAAAGCTCTGAAAGCATCATATATTAGAATAAAGGGTACACGAAACGATTCTCGGACCAGGCACACTGTAATTGGTCATTCATGCTTGCTGACTTTTCACAAGCGCGACTCACTATTACAGGGGTGTTAGGTTGTATTGTTTTCGACGCTTTCACCGACAATGACTTGTGCTCTATATTACAGGATGTGAACGCTTGAAATGACCCCATAACATCTAGAACTGGCCCTTACATCAAACTTTCCACCCAGCAGCCTCAGTCTATGTCCCACGAGAGAATGCAGCCTACGTCCCGGGTTTTCAGAACTGCTACATTTTGTAGTCGGCCCTCCTTGTCGGTCGTCAACGCTGACAACTCAAAGCTTCACACAAAAACAAAAAGATATGCAAATTTTGACTCATCAGGAAGACTGTCCTCAGACTTTAGCTCGCGCAGTCTAACCAGCAGACTTCCAATCGATCTATTAAATGGCAACTCCCAGCGAAATCAACGGTTTCAATACACTGGATTCAAACTAATGTTACATTAACGTCTTTTCCATTGCATCACACACACACACACACACACACACACACGCACGCACGTACGCACGCACGCACGCAAGCAAGCACGCACGCACGCGCGCGCACACACACACACACACACATATATATATATATATATAAATCAGACGCAAGCGCATCTGGTCCACACTTTACAGTGCTTTTAGAAAGTTTTATTTTTGTCAAATTTATCACAACCGTCATCACTAAACCAATATTTCCGGCAAATAAATGCATGTTCTCTTTTTTTTTTTTTTTTTTTTGTGTTTTGTATGTTGCTAGTATTTTTGTAAGTCTGTTTTTACATTCGTTGCCGTTTGTGCGTGTTATTGTTGTGTTGTTTTGTGAGTGCGTTTCAAAATTTTATTCAAATTACAAAAAAGGAAATGGACAAGTAACAAAACAAAGTGAAAGGAAAAGGCTCTGGGGCGGGGAAAAATAAAGAGAGGGGGGACTCCACTCATTTTTTGGGTTCGCACCAAGAGAGGGTCCGTACTGTTTTAGTGGTCTCTTTCTTGCTTTGATGTCTTCTAGGTAAAGAAGTTCGTGTCCTTTTTTCGATGGTTTTGCCAGTTGATGGTGACATCTGACGCAGTAGACTTTGGTGACTGTATGCGAGAACGTGGACGATTCAGCCGAGCATTGTGGACATAAAATGTCTTTGATGTGCGGCTCTACATCACCCTCCCAGTCTGTGTCTTCTGAGCAGGATGTTGACACTTTTCCCACGGCAGGTGCTGTCGTTTCCTCTGGGATTTCTTTGTTCTCTCTTTTTGCAGCAGGTGAAGTCTCGGAGCTAGCCTTCTGGCGGCTTCGCTTTTTGACTTTCTTCTGCTTCTTGCCTTTGGTCTGTGAGCCCTCTTCTTCCGTTGAGGACTGCGTGCTTGATATCACTTCCGTAGCGACTGCCGCCTCTTCCTGGGGTGGATGAACCTCCTCCGGAATGGGTGCAGTTGCTGGCTCGGGTCGTCTCCTCCTTGTAGGGCACTAGTTTGCCCAGTGGTCATTGTGCCCACAGTGAGGACAATTCGTCCTTTTGCCTGGCACAGGGACCCAGAGCTGGTGTTTGCCGCCGGGGAGCGTCGGATGCCTCATGTTGACATAATGAGACGTCAGAATATATTTTCAATCTATCATAAGTGCATGTAGGAGGTTTACAAATTACTTATGGAAACAAAAAAGTTCTTGGTTTTTTTGTTTCAATCATCTTTTTATAGTCCATGTTAGTAGTCAAGCCTATCCACAACCTTCTGTCATGTATACTTTTAGTCAGTTCTGACACAGATGATCTGCCATACCATGTCAAACTGTCCAGCATATTTTCCCTCTGTCTCGGTCTAGTTCTTTACTCCGGTTGTCTCCCTCTAGTTCTTTACTCCGGTTGTCTCCCTCTAGTTCTTTACTCCGGTTGTCTCCCTCTAGTTCTTTACTCCGGTTGTCTCCCTCTAATCACGTAATCAAAGAATGTTGATTGTCTACTTCTGATGTGGGCAATCAGTTCTCTTCGTGAGTCAGTTTCTTTCAAAACATCTTTGTTTCTTTTTGTGTCTGTCCATGGTGTTTTATAAATAGTTCTTAAACAATAATGTGTTTATAATGAAGCTTTAAACACATTAAGTACAATAGAATGTTAGAAGTACAAAGGGAATCGTTTTAAAATTGTTTGACCTTTCGGTTGAAACATCCTAGAACATTCCACAGGTGGCTCCACATGTTGTTAACCACTGAAATAAACACGTGAAAGGATTGTGCTGTCTAACACCTTGGCTTTTGTCAGTGGTTCGAATCCAGTTTGTCTAATGTGTTGTAAATTAGGTGGTTCGTCTCTCAGTTTGAGAAAGAAACACCCC